TTTTCTTTTACGGATCATGCTTTTGATGTCATATCTAAGAACTCATTGCCTAACCCATGGTCAAAGATATTTTCTCATATATTTTTTTCAAAAGTTTTATAGTCTTAGGTTTTATATTTAAGTCTGTGATCTACTATGAGTTATTTGAGGTATGGATCGAGATTCATATTTTTCATATGAATATCCAATTGTACCAGTACAATTTATTAGAAATTCTCTTTTTCCCCCATTGAATTGCCTTTGCACTTTTGTCAAAAATCAGTCGGTTATATCTGTTTACTTTATTCTGTCCCATTGATTTGTCTTTCTATCCTTTACCATTAAGTCTTAAAATTGTATAGTGATTCCTACAGATTTATTCTAAAAATTGTGTTAGATCTTCTACTTCTTTTGCAGTTTCATATAAATTGTAGAATCAGTTTGTCTCTACGAAAAATCCTGTTGAAATTTTTATTGGGATTACTAATTTTGTGAGTATTGACTTCTTTGTTATGTTGTCTTTCAGTCCATAGACACAGTATGTCTCTCCATTTATTTAGACCTCCTTTGATTTCTTTCATAAGCATTTTGTAGTTTTCTGCATACACATTTTGTGTATATTTTGATAGACTTATACCTAAGTATTTTATTTTTAAAAACAATTGTCAATGATATTTTATTTTTAACCTCAGTATTCTTATGTTCATTACTAGTATATATAAATAAAATCTATTTTCATGTGTTTACCTTGTATAGTGCAACCTTGCTGAACTCATTTATTAGTCCTAGGATTTGTTTGTGGAGGGAGGTGATAGATTCCTTGGTATTTTTTACATGGGCAATCTTGTCATCTGTAAATAGGAACATTTTTATTAGTTCTTTTCAGATCTCTATTTTTGTTTTGTTTTTTTTTTCCTTTTTTTTGCTTTATTGCACTGATGCAAACCTCCAGCATTGTGTAGAATGAGTGTTGAATGCAGACATTCTTGCCTTGATCCCTGTCTTGGTGGGGAAAGCATCAAGGCTTTCACCATTAAGTATAATGTTAACTGTAGGTTTTTTTGTTTTTTTTTTCCAGATGTTATTTATCAAGTTGAGGAAGTCCCCTTCTACATTTTATGAGAGTTTTTTTTTTTTTTAACAAGAATGGGTGCTGAATTTTCTCAAATGGTTTTTCTACATTGATTGACATGATCATGTTTTTTTATTTCTTTAGTCTTTATTAATATAATGAATTACATTGCTTAATTTTCACATCCCTGGAATAATATCCCTAGAATAAACCTAACTTGGTCGTGGTGAATAATTCTTTTTATATATTGTTGAATTGCATTTTGCAATGTTTTCTTAAGGATTTTGCATCTATTTTCATGAAGAATATTGGTTTTAAAAACTTTTCTTCATCTGGTTTTGGTATCAGAGAAATACTAGTTTCATAAAATGAATTGAGAAGTGTTCCCTCCTCTTCTACATTCTGGAAAAGAATATGTAAAATTGGTGTTAATTATCTTTAAACGTTTGTTGGAATTCTCTTGGAAGCCTTCTGGGTCTGAAGATTTCTTTTTTGAGACTTTTAACAATACAAGTTCAATTTCTTAATAGTTACAGGGCTATTTAAATTATTTTATATTTGGTATATTGTGGTCATTTACATATTTTAAGTAATTAGTCCATTTCATGTAAGTTGTCAAATTTACATATGCATAGCTGTTCAATGATATCTTTTTTTTTTTGAAATTTACAGGGTTTTATAGTGGTATTTACTGTTTCATTTCTATTATTAGTAATTTCTATCTTTTTTTCTTTCTATTTGTACTAGAGGTTTTTTCAGCTGTACTTATCTTTTTAAAAAGCCAGTTCTTTTTTACTGATTTTCTCTGTTATTATTATTTTTTTGTTTTAAGTTAATTTATTTCTGCCCTTTATGATTTCCTTCCTTTTGTTTGGTTTGGACTTATTTTTGGTCTTTTTTTTTTTTAGTTATAGTAAGAACTTATATTTTCCATTTGAGAATATTTCTCTTTTCTTATGTATGGATCTAGTGCTATAAATTTTCCTCCCAGCATTACTTTGGCTGTGTCTAGTATTTTGATATATCGCATTTCATTTTTTTACTTCAGTATTTTTTTTTATTTCCCTTGAGATTTTCTTGTTTTTCCATGGATTATTTAGAAGTGTTTTGTTTAGTGTCCAAGTGTTTGGATATTTTCTTCTTATCTTTTTGTTATCGATAAGAGAATACACTGCATATGATTTCAGTTCTTTCAAATTAGTTGAGGTTTATTTTATGAACCCACGTGTTTTCTATATTGATGTATGTACTGGAAAAGAGTATATTCTGCTAGTGTTAAGTGGAGTGTTCTATAAATGTTAATTAAATTCTATTGGAATTTTGTTCTCATATATGAGCCGATCTTTTGTCGAAAGAGGGGATGTTGAAATATCCAGCTATAATTGTGGATTTCTCTATTTTTCCTTTCAGTTTTCTCAGTTTTTTTTTTCTCGCATGTTTTTCAGCTTTGTTGTTTATTGCAAACACATTTCAGATCAGTATATCTTCTTGGTGAATTGACTCTTTTATCATTATATTATGGTCCTCTCTGTCTCTGGTCATTTTCTTTGTGTCAATGTCTGTTTTATCTGATATTAGTACAGCTACTTCTGCTTTCTTTGATTAATGTTTGCATGATGTCTTCTTATCCTTTCAACCTACCTATTTGTAGGTTTATGTCTTTTGCCAAATTTGGAAAGGTTTTCAGCCATTATTTCTTTGAGTATTTTTTCAGCATGACCTTCTTTATCCTCTTTTTCGGAGACTGTGATAACATAAATATCTAATCTTTTATTATAGTCTTTTAGGTCCCTGAAACTTTGTTTTTGTTTGTTTGTTTGGGCTGTTTTTTCCCTGCTGTTTAGGAAATTTTTATTGTACTTTCTTTCAGTTCACTGATTCTTGCCTTCACTCCCTACAATTTGCATTTGAACTCATTCTCTGGAATTTTAAAATTTAGATTATTGCATCTTTTTTGGCTCTAAAATTTTCACTTCATTCTTTTTTATGCCTTCTTTTATGAGACTTTATTTTTTATTTGTTTCAAGCATGTTCATAATTGCTCATTGAAGCATTTTTGTAATGAAAACTTTAAAGTCTGTCAGAGAATGCTAACATTGCTGTCATCCTACCGTTGACATGTATTCTCTTTTTTTATTCAATCTGAGGTTTTTCTGTTTTTTAGCATAATGAGTAATTTTTTATTGAAGCCTGGGTTGTGAGTATTATATTATGAGGCTCTGGATCATATTTAAACTTTCTCTTTTACCTGGCTTTCTCTAAAGCCAGCAGGGGAAGGTAGAATTCTGCTTTGTTACTGCCAGGTGGGAGTAGAAGATCCCATCCCCCACTCAGCCTTCCTTGTCCCTGCTCCCCCAAGAGTGCTCTTCGTTACTGCTGGGTGGGAGTGGGAATTCTGGCTTCCCAATAGGCCTTCATTCATTCCTCCCTGGCTGTGAAGGGTAGGAGCACCTCATTTCTGCTCCCCACTTGGCTTCCATTAATACCATGGAAGAGGGTGGCCTTGTTACCACTGGGGTATAGTAAAAGTTCTGACCTTTACGGGGCCTCCTGTAACACCACCACCATGGGGAGGAAGAGGGATGCTTTGCTACTACCAGGTGAGGATAGATGTCTAGGCTACCCATGTGGCTTCCATTGTCACTGCCTAGCAGTGATAAATGTCCCAGCTCTATACTCATTCTTCTCTGACACTTCTACCCTGGCCTGGGTGAGTGGGGTGGTTTGAGTGCCTTGTTATACCCTAGCAAGGGTATACCTCATTACTCCCTGCTCCCCACTCAGCCTTTGCTGGTGTGGGTGGGCTAGGAAAACAGTTATTTCTGTAGTGTTTGGCTGGAGTGAGCAGTTATTGTCTGTAAATGTTCTATGTTGCTAGGCTGCCCCTTTCCTGATCCTTTGGCTACAGAGACCAGGCTTTCATTGAGTTGTTTTGTCTGCACCCATTGGTATTCCAGGTCGCAGTCAAGTCTGGAATATCTGAAGCAAAAAAATCTGGTGGTCTCCAGCCAGTCCACTTTCTTCTCACCTTGTATTTTTCTTAGTTTGTTCTATACATAATGTCACAGGGTTTTGTTTGTACTTAATGAAAAGAATATGCTTACTCCATATTCTCAGAAGCAGAAATCCTCTCACTGAGTTTTTAATATATCATTTGTTCTTCCATATTTTATACATATTACAATCTTTGATAATTCTAGTCATTGAGGTCCTTTGGGCTCTATATATGTCGTTTCTTTTTTCGATATACTCCTAGTCTCAATGATTTGTTTTTCACGTGAACTTGTAGTTTGTGTGTTGGGGGGCGGTGGTTGTGAGAGTGTGAGAATGAGGAGAGAGAATACACCTGTGTGAAAGAAATCACTGACTGAATCTTATCCCTGGAATCCCAAGGCAATAAGTTGAGAAAGCTTTGCTCCAAAGATTTACATTCTCCTCTGATGTGAGGCCAGGGTCTTAACAGGTTGGGACTACTTCAGCCAGAGTCCAAGCTTTTTCCCTGAACATGTTAATCTCAGGTTCAAGCCCCTCACTTCCTGGTGGGCCTGACACTGGTTGCCAGATCTTAGTGTTGACATTTGCATTTGTCACCAGGACTCTCTCTGTTTGCAGTTTTTCTTTTTGGGGTTTAAGAGGAGGAACCTAATTAATTGGAACCTAATTAAAAAAATGTCTGGGGACAAAAGAAGTGTGTTTGTTATCCTTCATATAGGTTCCAGTCTGTAGCAGCAGACTCTTCAGAGTATCTTGTTTGCTGGTTATTTAAGGTTTCTGGTTAATTCAGTATTGTCCGTATTTTCTCTTGTTAGAAATTTTTGCTCCTAATGTCTCTGTTTTCCTAATCTGTTCATAAACGAAGAGTAGAGAGTAAGTATGAGACTATGTTCCTAGAATGAGACTGTTCCCCTGCCTTTTTTTTTAACTGGATGTTTCTAATTTTTCTCTGTAGGGCAGAAAAGACTGAAGTTCTGAGTGAAGACCTTCTTCAGGTAAGTTTGTTGTTGGCCCTTAGTTGATAGACACCAGAGATTTCTTTCACTTTAAAACCAAGCCATTCGTAATGTTATTTAAACTGCTTAGTTGTTCCTTATACAATTTATTTAAAGACACACTTTATTCCTCACAATTGTACCTTGTGTTTTGAATAATGGTTTGGGAAGATTTCTTGGGAGACATTTAAAGCCATTTCATTACATGGTTAGCAGAGAATCCCAGAGTCTGTGAGCACTCCCCATCCTAGAACTCCAGCATTGATGTCTCCCCAGCAGTCCCTGACTCTGCAGAAACATGGGTCAGACTCTTTTCCCATTATTGTCCAGACGTACAACCCATTCCTGACCTTGTTTTCACCCAGTGACTCCCCCCACTGCTCTGTCTGTAGGTGGAGAAGCGCCTGGAGCTGGTGAAGCAAGTTTCACACAGCACGCACAAGAAGCTCACTGCATGTCTCCAGGGCCAGCAAGGGGCAGAAGCCGACAAGCGCTCTGTAAGTGCCCTCCTAGTCCTGGGCAGTTTAAAACTTGCCTACTCCTGGGGCCTTGTTTAGTGTGTCTGTTTATACAGCCATTGCTATGTTTGAGAATCTCCCTACAGTGTGGCAGCCCTTCCCACCTCTTTCTGCCCTTGAACCCTGCCTGAAGCATCCCCACCCTCACCAGGCAAGGTATTGTTCCTCTCCTTGTCCTCCCCCAGCTGGGGCAACCCAGAGGCTCACAAAGGTGTTCTCGAGAGCTCACCTTTAGGGAAACTTTAACCTTGATCTTACCATGCTTCAGTTCATTCAGATTCCATTTGCCACAATAGCACCTTAAGATCTCATGGAAAAAATTATACTGTGGTTTTAGAGGTTACCCGTGACCTCTAAAGGCCCTTGAAAATTGTTTTTGCTATAATGAAACAATAAAGAGAACCTTTTAAATGTACTCTAATGTCTTTGTATATAACCTGCGTTAGTAATAACAGACATTCCACAATGTGATTTCATTGGACAGTCCTTGGTGTAAACGGTCATTGCAGGATTACTTTGCTATTGACCTTCCACACCCTGACCTCCATCAAAGATTAAAATATTTTCCTAGATGTTCTCTTGGCTTTATAACAGAAGATATGCAATCTAGGAGGTTTCTTTTTCTCTCCTTTCTTGAGTCTATAATCCACATGTTTGGTGTCTGTTAGACTTTTTTCTGATCCGGAGTTACTGTTGACTTTTCACTTCCTGATGGTCTCCCAGAGCACCCCGCCCAACCTTATGTTGGCTTCATTTCTATTAACTGTCATGTAACATGCCCTGATTCTTCATCGTATCTCATACTGCAGTATAAGAATCTACTTTGCATGGTCTATCAATCATTCCATTTTCTTCCCAGCTCTGGTTTCATCTTTCTTAATATTTCAGAAAAACTTACATGTGGTAGAAATAAAATGTTCACAGCTTTGAAAAATGTCTTTGGGACTAATTCTGCATCTATCAGGAATTTCAGCAAGGGGAACTCGAGCAGTCTAAAGGGAGAGTTTACAAAGTTGCTTCAGACATAAAACCCTTTAATCAGAGAAATCTCTAATACTAATATGGGACTCTAGGAGCTGTTCTGGGTAGGGTTGCACAGCCAGGCCTGCCTGAGACCCACCTCCTTTCTTTTGTTTCAAGAAGTACTATTTTTGAAATAACTGATATATAGTATAGTAGGTTTTGGTATCGAGTACCGTCTGAATGTTACCACCGGCACTTGAAACTGGTCTTTTCTGTTGATTACTATTAGCATTATTTTTCCTGAGACAGGGTAAAGTAACCTAGATTTGTAGAGTTTTAATTGGATTGAGAGTCTTGCAAATTATATCAGTTAGGAAGCGTTTGGCTCCCTGAGTATTCTAAAAAACAGCATATTCATATAAAATTTGAGTTATAGCAAGGGCAGCAGGTCAGGGGATGATTGACACTGGAAAGGAAGGTTGTTAACTTACATTTTCCTGGGAGAGTGGGGGAGATGTGGAGCGGGCATGCCATACTACATATGGCCACATGGGGAAGCACCAGGGTCAGTCAGAAGACAGAGCGAGGAAAATATGGCAGGAGCCTTTATCGTGGTTTCCAAGGGGAAGGAACAGGTGAGTCAGGGTGAGCAGGCTTAGGATTGGCTAATTTGAGTAATTTCTGCAGGCTGTGGCACACAGGGGCTATCCTTAGTTGTTTGGAACCTTTTCCTGGGTGAGCAGGGCAGATGGATGGAGGCCTGTAGTGTGTAAACTCCATAAAGGAGTTGGTTGTGGTGTGGGCTTTGAGTTGATTGGTTTGCATTTGAAAGGCACACTCATGGGAGAGTCAGCTATTATCTCTAGGAATTGGCCAACCCTGGCAGGGGCAGTTCTTCCAGGGTTAGCAAGGCCCCAGATGTCAAAGTTTCACAATATAAAAAATAAAAGATAGTTAATTTAATACACCGATTAATAGTGATTTCAGCAAAAAGGTACTTTCTATCTCACTTAACAAGATATCTGAAGTAGCCAGTCCTAAGGTTTGTTCATCAGTTATGTTTCAGAATTTCTGCAATGGGCAGGCTTCCCCTTATAGTCATAATGTAGCTGCTGCAGCTCCAGGCATCACATCCTCACATAACCACAACAAATGCAGGAAGTGTGAGGGTGGAGAGAAAATGAATTATCTTTGCATGCTCTTTTCATTTTTATCAGGGAAGGAAAAAAATGTTACCCAGAAGAATCTCTTTTATGTCTCCCTACATGCAAGGGAAGCTGAGAGATGAATATGTGTCTGTTCCCTATCACTGATACCTGAGCTACATGGGATCTTGTCTTTCCCATCACTGCTATTTTCTTAATGTCTAGAACAGGGCCTACCATGGGGTAGACAATGTTAAAAATAGATTTGTGTCATAAATGGATAACCCATGAGTATTTTAGGCATGGAATTTGCCTAACACATCAGCAAACCAGTCAGCAAACTCAGTCAGTTCAAGGGCCAAGCCGGATTCCTGGATGTGATGGACCAGCCCAGCTAACCCCAGACCCCCATTCTTCCTTTCTTTTGTGGCTTTAACCCTTCTGCATCAGGGAACACCCCCCACCCCTGCATCTTGGGTACCAGACCTCATGGGACCAGACCCCTTGGGACCACATGGTACAATGGGACCTCTGTCGTACATTCTGATTGGGGGATGAGTGTTGCTATTTAATTACTAATATTATTGAATGCCTAGAGGAGGCTGGGCCAGTCTCATGAGGACCCCTCCTGAGGTCCTGTGGCCCTGCAGAGCCTGACAGTAAAGTTTTGTTCTAGCTACTTGTGTCCGCTAAAAAAAAAATTTCCTATTCTATACAGAGACAATTTAATATGATGGTTCTGAGTTTAAGCTCTGAGATCCCACTATCCTAGGTTGAAATCTAGCTCTACTGCTTCCTAATTTTGCCTGACCTTGGGTGAGTTGGTTACCCCTCTAATGCCTTCATTTCTTTATTTGGAAAGTGGTAATGATAATAATGAATTCCTACTCAGTAATGTGTTTTAGAGTTCAGTGAGATAATGAATGTAATTGCCTAGCACAATACATAACATAAATAAATATTAAAGAAATATAATCTGCTGCTGTTATTATATCTTCACTGTTAGACTGAAATGACCATTGAGAACTACTGAGCCTTGAGCAGCAAGGCTGGGCTGTGTCTTTTGGGGTGTGAACCACAGAAGAATTGGTTGGGCTTGGAATTAGAGAATAGTAGATACTGATGGAGGATGGAAGGGAGAGAGGGGTTGGGGAGAGAGGGAGGGAGGTAGGGAGGGAGAGAGAGTGTGTGTTTGGCGAACAGAATGGATATTAGAATAGACTTTTTGTCTGAGTCATCCCCCAAACTGTGTTGCTTATGCCCAAGATAATTTTAGAGAGAACAGTCATCTCAGACAAGTCAGATTGACTACTTCTAAACCCTAGAACATTCTGTCTTTCCTTCCCTTAATTCTTAAGTTTCTATCAGCACTCTAGAATCAGGAAAAGTTTATTTCAATCGCCTCTTTTGACTTGGAAAATCACTGGCCAGACTGCGGATTGCTGAATAAGGACTTTTTACGTGGGCACTAATATTCACCTGCGTATTCAGTTACTCTCAGCCTAGATTCTTGTCGGTACAGGTAAACGAACTTCAGAGGCTGTTCTAGATTTGTGGGCACTTTAAGACTCAATATCCTTACAGGTGAGGTGGGTAGGGATGAGCAGAGTGTGGGAACAGAGCAAATAATATCTCAGTTGTAAACAGTCATTAGGTTCAATAGGATCAGCACAGTGTTCCACATCCACTGAGCCCTCAGTTTTTCTTGTCTCAGATAATTTCTTTTGAAATAGAAAAAATTTGCAGTCTGTTGTGGGTTGCAGTCTACTAACTTCTTCTTTTCTACTACCTTTGATTATAGTATGTCCCATCCCTTTTTAACATAAAGGTATATCACCTTAATCCATTTTTTCCTTCCTCTTTTTTTGGTGGCTTCCTTCTAATTTCTTGATTTTTAAAACATCTACACAAATAAACTCTCTTTATTAACTTTCACTGAGGTTTTACCCAGTTAACACTCAACTCCCATCCCTGGAATCTAAGTACTCATTTTCTCCTTAATGCCTCTCCTAGAAGTGAATTCTTCCTTATGAGAGTCACCCGTGCCACAAGCACAGGCCCTGGATCATGACAGTTACACCATCAGTAGAGGACTTAAATAAATTTTGTCATCTTCATTCAATGGTCCATGTAGCCATTAGGAAAAAAAAGAACAAGGTTGCTCTGAATGTCATGGTAGGAAATGACCTGAAAGAGATCTCTAGATGAAAAGGAAAACAAGGCATAGAGCGGTGTATATAGTAGGCTCACATTTGTGGGGGGACATGTGTCTATTAAAAATGGGTACACACACACACATATAAGTGGATCTGCTGAGAATATTTATGAGAGCATACACAGAAAAACTGATTACTATCATGGTCTCTGGTGAGGGGAACCCGGTGGCTGAGAATTAAGAATAGGAGGGAGACTTTTTGCTGTAAACTGTCTAGCACCTTTTGAGTTTTGTGCCATATGAATGTATTTCGTACTCACTAATTAATTTGTTGTAGATAGATATGATAGAGAATGAGAAAGAAATGGAGAAAGAGCATTCTCCTTGATAAAATCTTAAGAATTAAAAGGCAGTTGAAACAAGAATAATTTTCTCATTTTGTGGTACTTTGACACATAATACTACCCTTTTTGATACCTTAGAGCATCTCAGAATCATTACTGAGGATAACTGAAAAATAATGTTGCCTCCCTGGCTCAGGAGGAGGGCCCCTACACTTGTACCATTTCAGGCTGGTTTTCCAGCATGGATTTTGGAGGACAGATACTTGGCTGTCCCATCCCATCCTCCTCCAGGATGCCGATCAGCCCTGTGGTCCTCAGAGGCCGTTCTTGTTATGTTGATCTTGATCTTCACTTATTTACTCAGCAGCGGGAACAGTTTCTGCTTTACTCACTGACAGGGCTAATTGAACTAACCCTTTTCCATATTTGGAAAAACTGTACTTATTGACTGGTAGATATATTTCCCTAAAAGATGTCAACTTCTGGGCTATTAGAAGTTCCCTTCAGTCTTATAGGCAAGATCCTCTCTTACCTTGCTTCCTTGTCAAATTCTGAAGAAGGACTCGGAAAAGCCATAGTCCTGCCCTAAAGCCGAGTCATGGGGCTCCGTGTGCTCGGTATAAAACAAATGGGCTTTTCATGTGAACTGACCAATTCAGTGGGGGCGGGGGCAGGGACACCTCATTGGTTGGTTATTAGACTATTTTAGGAATTTGCAGGTTGAAGACCTTTCCATAGGCCACGTTTCTCAACCTAGGTACCCTTTATGTTTTGGGCTGGGTAATTTGTTATTTCAAGGGACTGTTCTGTGCATTGTAGGATGTTTAGCAGAAACTTTAGCCTTTACTCACTAGATGCTAGTATTGTTCCTCACACTGTGACAACCAAAAATGTCTCCAGACATTGCTAAATGTCCCTGGGGGAACAAAATAACCCCTGATTAAGAAATACCTTAAACCATGCTCTCTCTGTGAGCGTTAATAATTATACCTGTTCAATTCTTTTTCTTTACTTTTTTTTTAACCACTTCAGACATATTTTTTTCTAAAAAGTGCTTTAAATAACTTTTTTTTAATAGGCGAGGTGAGAGTAGATGCTCTCCTAAGATACTGTTTCCTGTGCCTTTAATTAAGTCTCTGGGAACTTGTACCTAATAGCTTTGTAGGACAACCAGAAAGTGGTGTTTAAATTTGGATATTTAAATACTGAATTGCCTGGTCTAGTTTTTATCAAGAAGAATGTCTCATTTTATTTGAAATGATGGGGTAGTAAGTTTATCACCTGAGTAAAAGGCATATGACTTCAGTGGAGTGGACGTGTCTAAGGGCAGGGAGGAACTACATTTTAGACCCTTTGAAGGCCTTCTCCACACAAGTATATTCGGCTCTCTCCACTTTGACTTACCTCAAGAACCACTTGAACTTCCATATCACTCTTGGGGGTTGACCTCTCTCCTAAGCTCTTCCCGGAGAAACCTTAGAGGGTCCAGGTGGCCTGGAGATGTTCAAACCAGATTCCTAAGTTCTAGTGGATGGAGCTCTGAAAATCTGTCTCTGAGTTCATCCCTCTCTCAAGTCGCTCAGTTGTCTGTCTCAGGATTGGAGTTATTTTAATCTGATCGTGCTCTTCTTAAACAAGCCCTTCAGTGGTCCCCAAATGCCCTTGGAGTGAAACTCCAGCACCTGCCTCTGGCCAGCAAGGCCCACATGATCTCACCTCTGCCTTCTTCCTCCACCGCTTTCCCTGTCACGCACTGTGCTCCAGCCATGTTGACCTCCCTGGGAACCTTGAGCTGACCATGCTATTTCTCATCTCAGGGCCTTTACACTTGCAATTTTCTCTACCTAAGATGTTTTTTTCCAGATCTTCTTGAGGCGTGGCTGACTTGTTCTCTTACTTCAGATTGCATCTTAAATGTCACTCCTTCTAAGAGGTCCTCCTTCATCATGGCTTCATACCCCACAGCTGCTCACTCTACCCTTTATGCTGCTTTCTCTTTTCCACGGCACTTCTAGCTATTTGAAATGATCTCCTTCATAGTTTCTGTATTTATTATTTGTCCTCCTCCACTGGAATGTAAGTTTTGTGAGGGCAGTGTCTAATCTCATTTACCACAGATGTAGTACCTGGGTAGGCACTCCATAAATACTGGATTAGTAAGTAAATTATAACTGAAGCTCTCTGTGTAATAATGCTCTGGATTGGATGAAGTTCAATCACTTTCCATTTGAAGAGCTATCTGTGTATCAGTGTGGACCGGAAGACCTGAAGATATGCTAGCAGTTCTTAACCTTGTTTTGAGTGTGTGCTGGATAGTTTTGGCTCAGCAAGGAGAGGGCTTGTTGATAGTAAGGAGGGACTGGGTCATGTTACACTCCTGTAGTAATAACAGGCTTCTTGCTCCCTCCCTTCCTTCCTCCTTCCCCACATAACATAAAACTTACTAGTTTAACTATTTTAAATTGTACAATGCAGTGACATTTAATGCATTCACAATAGTGTGCAACTACCATCATCTAATTCCAGAACATTCTCATCACCCCAAAAGGAAACCTCATACTCATTAAGCAGTCACTCCTTGTTCCCCCTACCCCCAGCCCCTGGCAACCACTAACCTATGTTCCGTCCTTTAGGCTTTGTTTATTTAGGGCATTTCATATAAATAGAATCATACAATATATGCCCCTTTCTGTCTGGCTTATTTCACTTAACATGATGTTTTCAAAGTTCATCCATGTTGTAGCATGTATTAAGACTTCATTCCTTTTTATGGCTGGATAGTATTCCATTGTATAGATATGCCACATTTGTTTATCCATTCATCCATTTAAACAGTTGAGCTGTTTCCATCTTTTGGCTATTGTGAGTAGTGCTGCTATTCACATTTATGCACATGTTTTTCTTTGACCATCTGTTTTCAGTTATTGTGAGTTTATACCCAAGAGTGGAATTGCTAGGTCAAATGGCAGTTGTTTTAACTTACTGACATAGTGCCAAACTTTTCCACAGTGCTACACCATTGTACATTTTCACCAGCAGTGCAAGAAGGTTCCAGTGTTTCCATATACTTCCCAATACTTATTTTCTGATTTTTAAAAATATATATTATTAATATAGCCATCCTAGTGTGAGGTGGTATCTCACTGTAGCTTTGATATGGATTTCCCTAATGACTAATGATGATAAGTATATTTTCATGTGCTTCTTAGCTATTTTATATCTTCTTCGGAGTATGCCTTTATCTTGACGCTTACGTTCTTTGTACTGTAATTGTATGTGAACACTTTTTTCTTTCCTTCTTAACCATAAGTTGGCTCATTTATGAAATGAGGCTAATGTATTTCTCAGGTGAGAGATTAGTTTTGGGAAACTAAAGCATTGCTCTCATTTTGTTAAAAATTTTTGAAATTTTCTTTTCTTCTTGTTGCTATGCCACTTGTGTTAAAATGCAGTTTGTAAACCTTATTTTCCAAACTGACAAATTTAATTCAGTTTTAATTTTCTGAATTTCGACATCTCTGAGTCTAACCCATCATTAAATGCTATAAATTTTTAGGTTTTAAACATAAAGCCATTTTGTTTATTAGCTAATATAGTATCTAGGTGAGTATTTGACTTTTTGCTCTTTTAGAGTAAGCAGGTGACTGTTGAAAGTAGTTTTCATTACAACCTTTTTTTTTTTCCTTTTCAGAAAAAATTGCCTTTGACAACACTGGCTCAGTGTTTGATGGAAGGGTCAGCTATCCTGGGAGATGACACACTTCTTGGGTAAGGTGACACCACATGTGGGTTTGCTAACTCTAGGTAAGTCCCCATCTGTTAAAGGGGACTAGAACTGCTCAGGGAAGTACTGAGGACATCTTCAGTCTGGCCGAGGCCTGGGTGGAGAAGAAGAAAACATTATCAGTGAGAAATCAAAACTTCAGGCCCCAAAGTTATATTTACATTGTCTGTGCAGCAAGGCAACTCACAAGGGGAGAAATTATCATAAAACTGTTGAAGGACAGTTGAAATCCCTAAGGCTCCAGCAGAAGCAAATATGAATGTCAAATGTCAGAACTTATGGGATTCCCAGAAGAACAACCCTGGCTGATTTTGAGTTCACAAATAAAAACAAACCAAAAATAGAATCATCATGAGAGAGAATCCTCAGGCACAATCAGTGGGAGAATTTTTACCCTAAGAACTAAGATAATAAGACAGTATGAAATAAAATGTAATTATGTTTAAAATGAAATTTAAAAATTAAATAAAGACAGCGTTTGCTATGGCAGCACATATACTAACAATGGAATGATACATAGAAGGTTAGTATGGCCCCTGTGTAGGGATGAATTTGTGAAGCATTCCATATTTTTAAGAATAAAGTTTTAACTAGATTTATTGTGGTGATCATTTTGCAGTATGTACAAATATTGAATTATTGTGCTGTACACCTGAAATTAATATAACGCTGTATGTCAATTATGCTTCAATTTAAAAAATTAAGTAAGAACAAAATAATTTCTGACAGAAGACTCAGACAAAATAAAAAAAGAATAAGCAGAATTGAAGAAAATAAAACAATAGAAATTTTTAAAATTCAAGTTATACTTACTGTAACTTAAAAACTTAATTGGATGAGCATCATCTTGGCATTCTGGGTTTCCATGATGGGGATTTTTGTGATAAAGTTCTATTATCTGAACCAGCTTTCGCACATTGGAAAATGACCATCAGATTAATTTATTAACGCAAAAGTCCATTCAGTTACTCAATAAAACTTCACTAAGTGCAAAAAAAAGTAAATAAAAATTAAAAAATCAAAACTTAATTGAGATAAACTGAAAATTGCACTCAAATAGAGAATTGGTGGACTTGAAAGCATATCTGCAGTCACTCTCTAGAATGAATAGAATGAAATAAGGGTGTAGGCAGTATTAAATAGAGAGGCACAAAGGATAGAATACAAAACTATGTCTAGTAGTAGTTCCTGAAGAAGAAGATATGCAGAAGGGACGTTTATGGTTGAATTTTTCTTTTCTAGATTTGAAGAAAAACATGGTCTTTAGATTTAAGAAGCACAAAAAGTCCTGCTTGAGATGAACAAATAGAAATCATTCCTGGACACATCGTAGTAAAACCAATTATTAACCAAAAGAGAGAAATGTAAATTTAACTAGAGAAAAAGATAAATATAAAAGAGCAATTAGACTGATAAGAGACTCTTTATTCATCAGCCAAAATAAATGCCAGGAAATAACGGAGGAAAATCTTCAAGTATTGAGCCAAAATATATGAAAACTAGAGTCTACGATAAATTAAAGCATTATTCAAGAATAAAAGAATAATAAAGATATTTTCAGGCAAACATTTAGAGAATTTACTACTCATATATCCTCACTGAAAGAACTAGTTAGGTTCATTTGAAATAGAAAGAAAGGAATGAAATGTAAGTATCAGGATAGCATTTTTTTAAAAAAAGTGAATGTGGTATGGAAATGAAAAAAACTCTTTTCCCTCTACCCATTTTAGGTTCCTTTACTGTGGCTCTGCAAATTAAATTGTCAAAAGACAAATAAGAGAAAAGCATACAGATTTTATTACTGTGTACAGTGTGTACACATGGGAGAACTCAATGATTAATAACTCAAAGGGGTGGCTAGAACTTGAGCTTCTATACAATCTTAACAAAAGAACAATAATTTTTAAAGAAGTGGCAACACAAGGGAAAAGAAATTTGAGTTTCTGGGGTGACAAATTGTGGGAAGGCAAATATATGGGGGAATTATGGAACATAAAGGCTTACTTAGTAAGGTCTGCTATTCCTTTGGTGCCTTCTCTAGGTTTCTGAGAGTCTAGAACTGTCTCTGGTGATTAAATTTTGCCCATCCTGGTAGAGAGGGAAAAGGGGACACTTTTATAAATTTACGTCCTCCTTCTAGCCAATGGTGGGTGGGGTGGGCAGAAAGCTTATTTTGTATCCACTTCTTCTCAATTGTCTTCAGCTCAAAATAATCCTTATGCCATTGTGGCATATTTTGGGGTGACATATTCACCCTTCAGTGCAAAGAAATATAAATAACCATGAACTAAAAGTAGCAATATAATAATTAATTTGGGGGATGTTTACAGCAAAGTGAAACTAAAATATTGGAAAATAATAACATGAAACATTGAAAGAGGAATTAGTGTTTTACGTTTTTGTATTGAGAGGAAGATAAAGATATTACATTTAAATTTAAAGTAAATGTGCCTGTTAGAAAAATAAGAGTAACCACAAAAAGAATAGAAATAGAATGCATAACTTCAAAATTAGTAAAAGGATGAAAAGGGAAATAAATAAAATATAAAAAGGGACTAAAAGAAAAAAGCAAAGAAAAGCATAATGAATAGAACACAGAAAATGAAGGTAACAGCAGTTGCTGAATATATATCTGTAATCATAAGAGATGTAAATGGAATAAACTCAACTGTTCATAATATGGAGAATCTCAGGTGGACAAACATGAAATTGTCATATGCTGTTTCTAAGAGTTACAGCTAAAACATGGCACAGCAAGATTGAGAGTAAAGGGATTGAGGACACCCAGGTAAAGATGACAGACTGAATACGCACATCTGATTTTGTTCCCTTCCAAATCCACTTTAATAGTTTTTTTCTCTTAAAAGACATAAATCCACAAAGGCAGGAAAAACAGGAAAGAAGACAACAGTAGCATAATTTTGTGAAGTATAAAACATATAATCGACTGAGAACTGACTTAGCAAGTCCCCTAAACCTGGCTGCTAAGGCAAAAGGAGGATATGCAGAGAGTCAACATTATCTACTCTCTGAAATACTGACAAGGCTCGGTATTGGTGGTACCAGGCATCTCTGGAATAGTGGGTCTTTGCGGGTGAGGAGGTGATTGAAATCATGAATGTCAGTAAAAAGCCATTCAAGTACTACTTGGATTGCTCAAACCCAGCACTTATCTCACCTTTGAGAGACTCTCATCCCCTTACCTCCCTTCCCGGCCAGATTCTGGAGCTTAATTCTCTGGAGGGGGCAAAACAGTGTCTCCCTCTAGGGATACCAGGTAAGGGTCATTAAAGAAGAGACTTAAGTGCTGTAATGCAGCCAGATGCTGAGACTCTTCAGCTGTCTTTCTCTACTCATGCAGCCCCCAGGCCTCTACTCTCTAGGCAGAAAAGTAGAAGAGCCTTCTTCGAGATATCTGACCAGCGCAACAGGAATGAACTAGACCTGAAGATATTGAAGGAAGCAGAGCTCCAATGAATGTCCCAGATGGATCATCCTGCTGATGACTTTCACTCACATTCTCTGAGCTGCTTAGTCTCCACCCTTAAATATAGACAGGCACCAGAGGTCATGAGACATTTGTGTAGGATCTCTAACCTGAAACCTAGATACTAAAACAACTGAGAAAATAATAAAGTAAAATTAGGAAGAAATAGATATTGTATGAGAGAGGAGGATTTCAGGAAAACAATCAATATTTTCAGGAAAATAATGCCTCTATTAGATAAAAAATAGAATGTTAATAAAAAATCTTTATAGTAAATAACATTCAGAGAACAAAGCAAGCTTCATAGAAATGAAAAATATGACATTATCAGTAGAAGATTTGGAAAATAAAGTTGAAAAAAATCTAGAAAAGAGAGCAAGAAGAAAAATAGAAAAGTTGGAAAAGTAGAGGAAGTCTTAGGCTTTAGTGACAAGAGTTCTGAGAAAAGGAAAGGGAGAAATCATCATCATCATCACCTTCTGAAAGAGTATTCCAGAACTGAAGAATGTGCATTTCTACATCTAAGGGCCCATTGAGCTCCTAATACAATAGAAAAAAATTAAACCTATGTCAGGGCCTACCACTAGTGAATACTAGTGACAAATAAGATTCTACAGCCTTTCAGAGAAAATAAATTGTCATATATAGAGGATCACAATTCTGAATGCTTTCAGATCTGCCAAAAGCAACAATGGAAATTAGCAGATTATTGAACAATACCTTCACAACCCTGAAGGGATATGATGCTCTACAGAATTCAGTATCCTGCCTAGATGTCAATCATTGTAAAAGTAAAAGAGAATGTTGTGATGTGCAAGGTCTCAAAAGTTGACTTCCCACCCACAATTTCTCAGGTTGCTAAAGCAAGATGTGCTCCAAAATGAGGGAGTGACCAAGAAAGGTAGACATTGAGTATAGGAAACAGAACAAGTCATCATAAGACAGAGAGAAAGAGAATCCCAGGAAATTGTGAGGGAAGATTTCAGGAAGATAGCTGTGCCCAGGGATACAAGGCGAACTCTAGTCTAGACTGACACAGGTCTGAGAGAGACTAATTCAAGAAGATGAAATTCATTTACATCAAATGTGGTTCATTGTCTGAAGAGACAAATTAGAAAAGTAACAGAAGATTTCAGGTTCAATCAGGTCATAGAAAACCAAACAAATCAAAACAAGGTAATTGTTAACTCCAGAGGGAACGAATAAATATATAAGAAAGACCAGTAACGATAATACACTACCCAGCTTTACTCTGAATAGCATATGGGGTCAAAATGTTGTGTAAATACTGAATGAATGGACAGAGGGGAAATGTAAAGATAGCTAAATTCTCATTTTCCATAGTTGATAGTCAATAACTAATGTTTCAAATTAAAAAAAAAAAGTGGCATTAGAAATACGGAGGCAAATAATAGAAAAATCAGATAAAAGACACCATTAAAAATCTACAAAGATAAACCACAGCCTGGGAGTTGACATTTGTAGCAGATTTGAAAAAGAATTTGAATCCACTCTACATCCATACACATATCTATTGGTATATAAAGACTCCTGAAATAAATTCAAATAAATAGATTCTGATACAAAAATAGCCAAAGAATATGAGTGGGCACTTTATGGAAGAGGGATTTTGAATGGCCCAAAACATGAAAAGATATTCAGTCTTACCGGTAGTCAGGGAATACAAATTAAAACCAGAATGAGATAATATTTTGTATCCACCAACTTGGCAAAAATTGAAATTTCTACCAGTACCAAGGGTTGGCAAAAGGACAGAGCATTAGGAACCCTCATTTGCAGCAGTGAGAGTGAAGTTAGTATCATTTCAAGGGCAATTGGTCATCTCTAGTAAGGTTAAGGGTATACACATCTTCTCTCCTGTGCACAGAAAAATTCTCACACATGCAAAAGAGACTGCACATATGCACTGCAGCACTGCATGGAATAGCTACACATTGTTGACTATGGGGAGGCTTAATAAATGGTGGTATATTCATAGAATGGAATTCTATACAGCAAAAGGATCTAATTCTGCATGTATCATGGTGGCTAAACCCCAAAGATAATGTGAAATTAAAAAGCAAGTAATAGAAGAAGAGATTCAGTGCTAAACCCTTATGTTAACTTTTTACACTAAGTGATGTAGCAGTTTTATATATTATATGTGAACACACATGTTTGGTAAAAAGTGTAAAATATGGATAGGAAGGGTACACACTCACCCTAGAATAACAAATGGCCTCTTCTCATACTCTCATTCATTTATAAAAACTTTTTACATGACTTTCAGTTAATATATACCATGCAAAAGGAGGACTGCCTGTATACCATTCATGGGTAATTAACATCTTTTAAACATTGTATTCTCTCATCTAGGAACATGGTATAACTTTCTGTTCATTCAAGTCTTTTGTTATTTGCTCATTATTAATAAATTTTGGACTGGTTTTTCCATTCCAATTTTCCATTGGATAATTGTCTATTCATCCTGCATTAAATAAGTTTACATAGTTTAGGAGAAAGAATTTTCTTTCTTTTAGAGGCTATTGAAATTGGTTTTTTAATGGATTCTAATAGAAAAAATAGAAATTTAGTTTTTGATATATTTTGAAGATGTTGATTTGTTTGTGCATCCATTTTAGCTAGTTTCTTCAGTGCTCTTAGGGAGATAGAAGCATCTGGCTCATTTTAGGCCTATTGATTTGGCACGTGTAAGTCTGTTCTCTCCACATCTCTCTTATGTTTCCCTATATGTCCCATTTACCCTAGGCACACAGTAGGGACTTAGCATCATTTAAAAAAAAATTGATAATTTCAGAAATGAAAATGGATGGAACAGGTTGGTAGTTGGATGCCATGGAAATCAACCAGTATTTTTTTTTTTTTCAAGAGAACAAATCCACTTTATTTACTTTGAATAAATTTAAATCTGTTAAGGGTACAACATTACACAGATTCTGTGTCCAGCGGCCTTAGCAGAAAAGTTGCTTCGGAGTTTGGCACGAACCATGCCACTGTTCTCATGAGCATGAGTTACCTTTCCCACATTACCTTGGCTTTGTTCAATTTGCCACCAGGAGTCACTGTATGGTTCTTTGCCTTGTACCCATAAAACTCAGTCTCATCTTGGGTATAAACACCTTCAATTTTAAGAAGAACTATGTATTTCCTCTGGTTCCAGAGACGCCGCTTATAGCCAGCAAAAATGGCCTTAGACCATAGCCTTCCAGACATATTTGTCGTTTTAGAAGTCCTGTTCTCAGCAGGCCTCCACAGGCTCCAAGATGGTGGAAAAAGCAGAAATCAACCAATTTTTAACACTGTCTTGTGAAAATGTACCCAGCCAGAAGCCAATGACAATATGACGCAGGTGACATCTTGCTTTCTAGGGTATTCAGTATGGGTTTTCTTACCCTTCTATTTCAGGAAGATGCTGAAACTCTGTGGAGAGACAGAGGACAAGCTGGCTCAGGAGCTGATTCATTTTGAATTGCAGGTGGAGAGAGATGTGATTGAGCCCCTGTTCCTGCTGGCTGAGGTAAGAAGTGGAATGAGGCTAGGCCTAAGTGAGCAGGAAAGGACAGAACAGTGGGCCCTTTTGTCATTCTGCTCCAGCCTTATTACCGTTTCTACCCCTCACCCTACTTTGTGACACTGTTTTTCATTAGAGGTTATTACCCCTCAACTGCATGGTCAGGATTCCCCATTATGGTGGTCTTTTTAGCTGTTTGCTGCCTCCTTTCTCCCACCTATACTTCTCTCTGTTGGCACTTCAGTGGAGAAAGGAGTAAAGGTGGCAGCATTACTTCCTTCCCCACCAGAGTCTCCACTGCCATCACCACCCCTGTCCTCCACCCATCTCAAGTCTTCAGTGAAATGAACAACAGACCCTTCTCACAAGGTCCTGGGGCCCTGCGCCCAAGAGACTCTGTAAGGCTGCTTGGAGTTTGTCTATTTATGTCTCTTCTCTTGGACTTTAAACGACACTAAACAAAACTATTTTATTAAAAGGAAACCTTAATGTTTATGTGACAATTTTGTTAGCTTCAAACAAGTGAAATTTTATCAAGTAAGAAAGGAAATGGTTGGGAGACTTTATTTGCTCTGAACCCTGGACCTCCTCCCAGTTGCCTTTAATTGGTCATACAAAACCTAATGGCACTGTCCCATAGAATAGTGTGATAGCCATTAGCTTTCTGTGGCTATTGAGCTCTTGGAATACGTTTAGTTTTTTGATTGAGGAACTAAATTTTTAATTTTATGTCATTTTTTTTTTCATTCGAATTTAAAATGACATAAAGGCTGCCATATTGGAGAGTATTGCCCTTGACCACGTCCGGTTTCCTTTCTGGACTGCCACCAGCACCTCTATCTACCCTGGTGCTATTTATGGGGCAGAATGTATGGGTAACTAATTGCCTAAGTGCCTGAAAATATTCAGGAATAAAATTCTAGATATGGGGCTTTGATATAGACCAGCTCTAGACTTCTCAGATGCTGTCCTGTTACAGGGCATCCCCTACCTGTAAGATAAAGATAGTCTGGGGTTCTAGCCAACCTGAAGCAAATACAAGGGGCTGATGTGACCTGGGTGTTGAGCTTGCTTTTACAAACAAGATGCCGTGTGACTCCCCATGTGACTCTCCGTGTGACTCTGGGCTCTGTGACAATGCAGGGTGCCCCAGACAGTATCCTTCTTCTTCCTGTTGGAAGTCCTGACACTCAGTTCATTACTCACCCCTGCTTGAAGAGTGAATAGAAAGCACTTCACAGAACACTTCACATTTTTTCCTTCTATAAAAGCCATAGCCTGAGATGACTTTGGTTCAATTACGGCCAATTTTCCTTTTAAATTCTCACATCCTGCCCCACTTTTGCTGGGCCTGGAACCAAAATCCCTCTCTGGAATGTTCAGTTAAGTCATTTTTAGAAATAAAAATATAAAAAGAGCATCCCCATACAACCACTATGGAAGAACTTCTCATAGCTGAGAAAAGCCATGTCAATGTTTATTCATTATTTACTTTGGAAAAATCTTATTTCTATAAAAACATATCCTAATTGCATTCCTCGTAGCATCTCAGGTCTCCTGAGAGCCATTCTCTTTATCCTTCTGCTGTCTGTTTTGAATTAGGTTTGTGTGTCAGATCTGCTTTCCCCCCACATTGGCCCTTATGCATGTGAGGAGAGAGATGATTGAGCCCTGTTTTTTGCTGGCTAAGACCAGGAATGAGGCTAGGCCTAAGTGAGAAGAAGGCACAGAACCTCTGAGATGGTCTGAGTTGATGGAGATTCCTGGCAGATGTCCAGCAAATTAAGAGCAGAGTTTAGCTCAGGAAAAGAAACCAGGAATTTCATCTGAAAATAAGGATTGGGAGATCTCTAGCAAACTTGTTGCATGGCTATCAATAGTTCCTTAAGAATTTATCTTGAGCTTTAATTCAACTGTCTTTTGTCTTCTGTAACCACAGGTGGAAATCCCAAATATTCAAAAACAGAGGAAACACTTAGCAAAGTTGGTGCTGGACATGGATTCTTCACGAACAAGGTACAGTAGGGCCTCTGCTTTCATTTCTGTTTCTCTAAAGAAATGGTGATCACATTTGGTTGTGGGTAGGAGTTTGTGTGTGAGTGTGTGTCTGGTTTTATTCGCCAAGTGTTTTTTTAATACTCCAGGCACTGGAGGTAAGAGTAGGGAGCAGAAATACTGGGCCCTCTCTTGAGGAAGCTGCAGTCTAGTTTGAGAGATACACTCCAGGCAAGTGAGCAAACATACAAGACAATCTCAGGCAGCCGGAGCCATATAAAGAAATGGCACAGGGTAATTTTGGAAGGGAATGTTGGAGAAAGGGGGCAATAGCATTAGGTAGGGTAACACAAGGAGGGCTTTTCTGAGATGACACTTGACCTGAGACATAAACAATGAGGAGGCAGCCATGCAAAGATCTGATGCAAAACTTTCCATAACAATGGGAACAGCAAATGGAAAGGCCTGAGGAGGGAATAATACTGACATATTCAGGGTACAGGATGAAGGCCAGCATGGCCAGGGTAGAAGGAAAAGCGGGAGAGTAGCAGGAGAAGAGACTAAGTGCTAGCATCGATAATGTGTCAGGTCTATAATGAGGGGAGAATTTCAAATTCTGGGGACCAATTTACCTTCTTCTGAAGCTGACAGTGCAGAAATCTTCTCTATGTAGCCATTCCCTAAACCTGAGACCATTATGAGAGAGGTAACGTTACAACAGTGCTGCTCTTCTGTACCTTTCTTCCAGAATCCACCAGAAAATTCTTGTTATAGTGGTAGGGGGGTGAGGATGTAGGGGGTGTGCCAAAGGCTTTGAGATGGCTTTGACTGTGGCTGGCATATGTCATGATTGTGCCCATGTGCCTTTTTATTTTTTACAGAAGTAGGTGTGTGTGTGTGTAAGTCTGCAAGTTGAAAGAATGCAGAGTCATGAATATTAATATGGAAGTAACTATTGGGTTCTATATTTGGTTCGTTGTAGGTCAATTTTAATAATCTTTTTCTGAGAAAAAGAAACAAAAACGAAAACAGAATATACTTCGACTGAGAGATGTAGGATAGATTCCTGAACTAGGAGTCAGAGATAAAGTACCAAGATCTAAGTCATCTATTTTCTAAACCTGTGTCCTTGGTCAAGTCACTTAAACTCCCAGAATAGCCTGCTCACCTGTACACAGGTAGTAAACAATATTTGTGGGCTGACCTGGAGAGGTTGTTTTGAGTGTCATTTGAGATCATGCTTCTCACAATGTATCCCAAGTGCTTTATAAAAGGAGGCTGCTACTGTAACTAATTGGGACATTTGAATTCTGCATCTGGACCAATAAAAATATTGAGCAATTCCTCCAAGACCAGAAATAAAACTTCGATCAGCAGAAAAACAAAGGTTTCAAAAAAAAGTTAACTTAGTGTTTCCCAAACTTCATTCCACCTGAATGATTTTTGCCATTTGTGCTTACACATCTTTTAAAAATTGATTTACTTTTTCAGAGTGAACCTATTTTTTAAAAAATGTTATAACATCGTAAATTGAAAGTAGTGCCCTTTGCTACAAATAACCAGGTAAACATAAAAAATGAACAGGATGAAAGCAAAGCCAGTGTTATTAAATTTTAGATTCCGTTGCCTATGGAAGGCTGTGATTCTTGTCTTTTTTGATTAAAAAAGAAGAGGAGCAGGAATTGGAAAGTTGCTATAGTTATTCTTACCCACATCTGAGTCTGTCCTTGCACCTGGAAGAATAGAGGGCAGTATTGATTTGGTGTTACTTACCACTATGTCTGTGTGCCACATAAAATTGCCTCCAATAGCAGTGTTCAAGTCCCGTTTGCAGAACGATTTCCTTCTGTGAAGCCCTGGCTGATTTGCTTCTGTAAGGAAAACCCAAATTTCTAGCACAGAGCTTCTGGTTAGCGGGCTGGATTCTAGCATCAAAGCTTATCATTGCCATCGCCAGTTATGTGTTTCTGTTTGGTCTTCTTATGAGAAAGAGAGTTACTCCTAGGTAGCAGCCATGGCCAGTCTGGTCTTGTGTTGTTTTTAATGGTGACACCAAGTGGTGTGTAGATTTTAGAGCCTTAGAGAAGTGTCATTAGAGACCCTCATCCATGATTTAACAACTTTTTCATATTTTCAGCTCATATACTCTGTTATGTTAAGATTTGGTAAGGAAATCTCTACCCCCACCCCATCTCAAATTTCTATGCTTATAAACTTCAATTCGGACCTACAACCTTTTTGTTTCAGATCAAAAAAAAATTTTTTTTAATCTTCATATAAACCTGATCCATCTCCTTTATCATATTGGTTGTTTTTTACAGACTATTCTGTGTAATTGTGAGTTTGAGGGCTGAAGATTGCTTTGGAGGGAGAGTATTGGCCGTACAGCCCTTCAAAAACTTAGTTACTGCCTCTTCAGGTCTCTGCTTTAGTAACCATGGTGGAAAGTCCAACCCCAGGCCTCAGTTATGGATTCTCCATCAGTTTAGGTTATAGACTTCAGAATGAAAGGGAATGTCTTAGCAAAGGTGTCCTCTCTCTTCTACCTTTAATCTCAGACTAGCCGTTTCCAGCCTGGGTTAATGCATCTTGTAGGACCTTGCTGCAAGCCACAAGAAAAAGCCAACCCACCCAACTTCCTGCTTTTTCCCCTAACCCTTCGCTCTTACTCAACATGAGGACTGCATTTTGTGATACAACAGTGAGAGTAAGATCAAATGCAACACTATTGAATAACAGGGATCACCAATTACTCTTCTGGAATAATTAGTTTTCACTACCCCCCACTTCCACCCTACACTACTTAGCTATTTAACCAGTCCGTACGTGTTAGATTCTATTCTTTGTGGCATCCTCCTAATGATTGACAAAGCTTTCTTTAGTCCTGTTCTGTCCTTCATGAATTATACTATCCAGACTGAACGGTGTATTCCAGGTGGAGACACACTCTGCCTTTTAAGAAAGTCAAGCTCTTTTATATATTTTCAGTACATTTTGATCAATAGTTCTGTGACTGGATCTTTGAATTCTACCACAACTCTGGTGGATACTGCCACATCCAACAGATTTATCCAATGTTTAATTAGGTTTAAATCTAATGTGTACGTTTGTCATTATTCAAGTAAATCTGGCTTCTCTGCTTCAAAAGCCTTTTAATATCCTTAGATAATACCAAAGTCTAGGATCCAGACAAGAAAAAGCTGGAGTTCATCACCACCAAACCAGTAATAATAAGAAATGTTAAAGGGACTTCTTTAATAATAATAAGAAAAAAATTAAAAATATGAAAAAATATAGTAAAGAAAAACAATTCTCACTGGTGAAGGCAAACACAGAATAAAAGCAGTAGATCAACCAACACTAAAGCTAATACAAAGGTTAAAAGGCAAAAGTAGGATGACCATGTATAATTAATTACAATGGTAAATTGAGGGATACACACACACACGAAGTAAAATATAATGAGAAAAACATAAACGTGGAAGGGGTGAGTAAACATGGTAGGGATTATAGAATGTTTGAACTTAAGTGACCATCAACTTAAAATAGACTGCTATAAACACAGCTTGGTATATAGGAAGCTCATGGTAACCACAATCCAAAAATATACAAGAAATAAAGAGAAAGGAATCCAAACACAACACTGCAGAAAGTCAACAACAAGCAAGAATAAAAAAGGAATAGAGAACTACAAAAACAATTAGAAAGCAATTAATAAAATAGCAATAACTACATACCTTTCAACAATTACTTTAAATGTAAATGGATTAAATGCTCCAATGAAAAGACAAATGGATAAAGAAGAAGTGGTACATATAAAAAAATGGCATATTACTCAGCCATTACTATTTGGGACAACATGTGGGTCTAGAAGGTGTTGTGCTAAGCGAAATAGGTCAGACAAGGACAAATACCATATGATTTCACTTATATGTGGAATATTAAAAAACAAGATAAATAAGTAAGACAAAAGCAAATTTATAGATGCAGAGAGCAAACTGATGGTTGCCAGATATGAGGGGAATTGGGGGACTGGGTGAAAGAGGTGAAGGGATTAAGAAGTACATATTGGCATTTACAAAGTATTAATGGAAATGTAAAGTACAGCTTAGAGAATGTAGTCAATAATATTATAATAACTATACATGATGTTAGTTGGGTACAAGACTTATCAGGGGGATCACTTTTTAAGTTATATAAATGTCTAACTGCAATGCTTTACACCAGAAACTAATACAGTATTGAATGACAACTATAATTGCAATTTTTTTAAAAGTTAAAAAAGTGGAAGGTACTACTGACCCTTCCAGGAAAGACCCAAGGACTCAGAGATCAAAGGAAGAAGCTAAGATTATGCAAGTGTAAAACTTATCAGGGGGATCACTTTTTAAGTTATATAAATGTCTAACTGCAATGCTTTACACCAGAAACTAATACAGTATTGAATGACAACTATAATTGCAATTTTTTTAAAAGTTAAAAAAGTGGAAGGTACTACTGACCCTTCCAGGAAAGACCCAAGGACTCAGAGATCAAAGGAAGAAGCTAAGATTATGCACAGGTGGTATAAAATCTTAAACTGTACAATTTCTAGAGGAAAACACTGGAAAATATTTGCAACATTAAGGGTAGGCAAAGATTCCCTAGTATACAAAAAACATGAATGATAAAAAGTTAACAAATTGGGCCCAATCAAAATTCTTAAATGTTGCTCTTTGAAAGATACTGTTTAAAAAATGAAAAGTTATGTCATAGAATGGGAGAAAATATTTGCAATACACATATCTTTCAAAGGACATATCCAGAATTTATAAAGAACTCTTATAGTTCAATAATAAAAATACAAACAGTATGGTTTTTAAATGGGGAAAAAATTTGAGGCAACACTTCACTAAGAAGATATGAATGGCCAATAAGCACATGAAAAATGGTCAACATCATTAGTTGGTGTTGAGCATTAGTCATTATGCTAATTAAAATAATAATGAAATACCATTGCACACCCATTAAAATGACAAAAATTAAAAATACTGACCATATAAACTGTTGGCAAGGATGTGAAGCAGATGAAACTCTTCTGCAATGCTGTTGGGAATGTAAGGTGGCACAGCCACTTAGGTAAAGAGTACGGCAATTTTTTAAATGTTAAACAAATACCTATCTTAAGATCCAGTCCTTGAATTCATGTTTATCCAAGAGAATTAAAGCAAACATAAAAGTTTATACATGAATATTCATAGCAGCTTTAATCAGAATTGATCAAAACAGAAAACAACTCAAATGTCTCTCAAGTAGATTAAAAAAATATGATATACAATGGAATATTATTCAGCAATAAAAAGGAATAAATTATTGATATGCCAGTCAAAGAATACTGAAGCTTAGAAGATAAATAAAAGATTATAAATAAGAAGAATGGAGATAAACTCAAGGAAGCTTTATGCTCAATTGAATTTAAAATGAATGTGAATGATACATAAACCTCTTTTCTGCTATAGGTTTGGTTTGGCAATGGTTAAAGAAGGAGCCTCATTTCTTCCCAAAGTCTGCCTCAGTTTTGGGGGGAATGTATCTCACTGTCAACTCTCTGGGTCCAGGACACTTAACATTTGTGCTGAATAGCTGCCTCTAGGTGGTATTGCTATGGACTGAATTGTGTCCCCTTCAAATTCATATATGGAACCCTAACCCCCAGTTAAGCTTAAATCAGGATGTGGTACTAATCCACTAGGGTTGATGGCCTTATAAGAAGTGAGAGAGAGCAAGAGCTCTCTTGATGTGCATTCAGAGAAAAGGCCCTGTGAAGACAGAATGAGAAAGCCATCGGAAAGCCAGGAAGAGAGCCTTCAGAACCCAAACCCTGCGAGAAAATAAACGTCTATTGTTTAAGTCCCCCAGTCTGTGGTATTTTGTTATAGCAGCCTGAGCAACCCATCTGCCTTCTTTGGATACAAGTGAACTAATAGAAGTAAAACAGGAGTTTGGGGAAGAATACTGGGCAGCTCACAGAATTAAAGAAGTGGATAACTAGAAGTGGAATTGTGGAACTATGGCCATTTTTAGTACCTCTGGGACTGGCAGCAGAGTCTTATTGCCACCAGGAGCAGTTGCACATCTCACCTCTGCTTCTCTCTACATATAGACATCTTTTCCTTAGAGCCATTGTCTCCATGGTCACTTGATGTCCCTTGGGCTCGAGTCTCCCCAGCATGAGGTGTTTTTCTTTTGTTTTCATTCTAAATGTACAAAGGAGGGGCTCTCTTTGTCTGAATGTTGCTTATGTGCCACTTCCTTGGCCTGTCACTTGGCCATGGTGGTGAAGAATGGCTTGCATTAGGGATCTCTACCTGGACCATTTACTGGGAGAGACACACAAAACTGGCAGCTCCTTTTGGCCCATGCATTAGAGCAGTAGTGGGACAGGACCTCAAAAAATGGAGGATGCTGGTGACAGGAAAGGAGAAGACTGGACAGATAAGATAATAAAAATGGAGGATGCTGGTGACAGAGGAAAGGAGAAGACTGGACAGATAAGATAATAAATGTCCCACTAAAGAAACTTTCCCATTTGCCTTCCAAAAATTTTTCTGTAGTTTCTGTTTCCCTGAACTTTTGCATTTGTCTTCTTCCCCCTTCTCCTGGTCGTTGAAATTTCATATCCTTATTTCTGCCCTTTTTCATATCCTTATTTCTGCCCTTTTTCTTTCTTCTAGCCTTTGTTAAAGCTTATATTCTGTTGTCTTCTCCCCCAGGTCGTATATTATGGTGATAGCATCTTTCCCAGAGAATGATGGTGTCATATCAGCTACCTTAGTGAGAAGAAATGAACTTCCTGCTTTTCAAATTTTAAAGCTCAAACTCTTCTAGGACAAGAATCCCTGTTTCTTCTCTTGGTCCAAAATCAATTTCTTCTTAACAGAGCAGCACAATTCTAGAGTTCATTTGTAGAACAACTGACAGAAAAGACCACCAGACCTTGAAAATGATTAATGTCACTTTTCACAGCAGATTACCGCCTATACAATTTTTAAGCTTCCCTTGAGATTTTGTTATTCTAACAAAGGGACCATTTTGGATATCTTATCACTATTTTGTAGTATCAAAATAGATTACTTGTATATTACAAATAAAATTCCTTGAACAGGGAGGGGAAAGGTATATGATTTTAAACTACCAGGATATTGACTAAAGGACAGAATTTTGAGAGAAGAGGGAAATAAGGAAAAAAGAGATAACTCTGGAAAATGTTTTTATTTTAATTTACTTACAGTAAGTATAATTTGGTTTTTAATCTAATACAGATCTATAAAACCATAAAATCAGTATAGTGTTTACAGTCGCTTTATTTTTTATTCTTGTATATGGTTAGTTGTTTTTTCTTCAGGTAGCATGAGTCAGATGGCGGATGTAGCTTGACTCACCCACAATCTGTCATAGAGGTATTTTCATTATCCGAGATCTAAATTACAAACACAGCATCTCACATTTTATTTGAGAAGAAAACTGCAGCACTTCAATACTTTATTTAAAATAGTTAAACCTTGGAGGTATCAATTAAATATTTCATTTCTGCAGGGCAAACCATTATAAGAAAGAATTGACCAAGAATTTTTACTAACCTTTATCTATTAGCTTAGATTTTTAAACATCTTTAAGCAGATTATTTCCTTTCTAATTTGCCCTGAATTTTTATCTTGCATACAGAATCTTTCCTAGGACATGTGTGTCAGTCTCTAGAGTTTCAAGCCAGGCTTGATGTCTCAAAGCCTTTTTAAGTATTTCTCGTAAGTGCATTTATTAAATGACAGTCCTTTATTTTGCTACTTTTTGCTAATAGCAGAGATAACTTTAGTTTCTCTATCTTGTATCATAATCTTGCACTCTTTCGTTTGTCCTGCATATAACAAATGAGAAAAGAAATGTGTAGAGAAAACACCTAATGATTAGATTATTGACTCTCAAAGTGAAGTTATGTAATGTTGCACCTTTTTCTTCTACATTGGATGGAGCCTGATGAGCTATCCAGTTTGGTCTGTATACTATTAGCCAGCATCGTGTTTAAAGAAACTATTGAATCTGTTGACACATTGCATCAGGAAAGTTCACATGACAATTTCCAACTTCTCTTGTCAATGGAAATATCTGGCAACCTATGACCGACCCTCCTGCCTGGGCCCATCAGCCCCATGAAGATCAACTGCCTTCTTGACAGTGCAGCATCCCAGCTCACTCTCTGCCCTCTTCCCCTTCCCCTCCGTGTCCCTCCTAACTTTCCAAGACTGCAGCCAGGCATCAGCTGCCCTTTGTCATCCTTCTTATACTACTGTTTTTCTTAAAGCTGAGAAATAGTTTTATATCTCATGTCCCTATTACAAGTAGGAAGTCAGGATCTAGTAGAGTAGTTTTCAAGATAATGACCCATTTGACTTATTTTTCTTACTTGCTGATCCCTATAAGCTGTTAGTTTACAGACTCACCTAGCGTACATAATTGGCTTCAGCCAAGTAGGTGAATGTTTCCAAATTCAAATGCCCACAGTATAGGCAGGGAGCTTAAAGAAATGACATAAACTGTGCTTCAGAGAAAGCAATGGTGATGTTACTTGAGCTTAATGTTCAAAAGACAGTAGGGAAAATGGTGACAAACTGGGAAAGACTTGCCACTGTGTGAAGGGGTAGCTGATTCTCAGCTTCTATCAACAACTGTTGAGTGGAAACTCCACTTCCATTCTCCTATTCTAGTACTTGGTACCTTTTCATTACATCTCCTTTCACATGAGGGGGTATTGTACCCTGGGTAATATTTGTAACCAGCTGTTTTCTCAGCCTTCCCACAATATCCCCAGGACTCTACCTGTCTCACACCTCTCCTCTTTTTCTCCTATTTTCCATCAGGTGGCAGCAGACTTCCAAGTCTTCAGGTTTGTCCAGCAGCTTACAGCCTGCGGGTGCCAAAGCTGATGCCCTCAGGGAAGAGATGGAGGAGGCTGCCAACAGAGTGGAGATTTGCAGGGTACCCCCCTCTTTGCTCCTCTCTACCAGGACAGACAGGGGAGCTCTAAGGGAGGCCCTTTTTGTTCACTGGAATTCTAGTAAAACCTGAATAGTCAGCCTCTACTTAAACTAACTGGCCCTAAGCTTGACTGCTAGTATCTCCAAAGAACCTGGGATGAGTTCTGAGAGCTGGGGCTTTGATGGTGACAAAGACAAGGTAGGCAGTGGTGGGTGGTCATTGGCATTGCTGCATGGTAGGCAAAGAGGAAATGACCTTGGTTTCTGCTTGAAGCTTTTGTAAGTCATCTGAGTCCCAACTAATAGTTTCTAGGCCATACAGAATCATTGAGAATTTAGATATAGTACATGAGCCCTTGACTCAAAGTTGACACTGAATTATTTTGTGTGCCCTTTAATATTTCCTGAGGTTTGTTTTGTTTTGTTTTGTTTTGTTTTGTTTTGTTTTGTTTTTTAGCAATCCCTTGCTTCCTGGGAGACACTTATCTACCAAGTTGAAGTGCTAGCCAAGGAGATAGTCACAAAGAGAAAACTTGCACTAGTTAAGAGGAGTGTCTCTTTCTAAGAAATGAGCCTCTGCATTCAGGAATGGTAGAGACCCTTCATTACACATGGTCAAACGTGTCCCATCTCCTTTCCCCATAAACGTTTTATAGGGCTTAATTAGCAATTCACCATTCATACTACTCTGTGTATACATACATCTACATATGTGCAGATCTATCATTATTGGTTTAGATACAAGGAACAAAAATCTCATGTTTCTGGAACTATGCTGGGTATCTGTTATATTAATCATGTGCAGTTTTAAAAGAGAGAGTAGCCACTTTGCATGCCGACATCTCTGTTCTTTGTGGCTCTATCTAGTCTTGTTAGGTTGTCCATTGGCTTATCTTTTTATGATCACTCTTTGTAGGTGACTTTGACTTTGCATTCAGGTGACATTCAGAGTCAGATATAATTTTTCTCTGGACTTAGAAACATTGAAAATGATTTAAAGAATTCATTATCTCAGCCTACAGTACTATGGAACCAAGTAAAGTTAAACCAATATTTCAGATCCAAGATTCATTGTGAGTAAAGCTGACTTGTCATTTGAACTCCTGTGTAAATAGCAAATACCTAGCTAGTGCTATTCGTGAAGTATAACTCTTCTCTCATGCTGATTTCACTTTTACTCTGTGTCTCCTCTACCCATTCACCACAGATTTATGTTCCTCAGTTAAGAATCTCATTTCTTTCAAAATTACTTCTTCAGTCGACATGGGAGGGTGGTATTAAGAGGGGATCTGAATGCGAATATCCAAATACATCAGAATAAAAATTTTAACAGCTTCATCTATCCTTGTGTAGATTCTTACATTTGCTGTTTTTACCAAAAAGTATATTAAATTTCTCCTCAAAGATTATAAGAGTAATATGTGTTCACCGTAACCAGTGAAAAATATGAAAATATAGCAAGGAAACACCAATAATTCTCCCCCTTCCTGCCCAGCAACTAATCCCTCTTTCAAAGAAGGTGCCCAGTTTGCCCTTCTCACCAATATTTATCAAGATATTTGTTGTAAACTATTTACTCTGTTACGTGCCAAGTGGCCACAAAAGTTATAAGGATAAGGAAGCCAATGTTAGAACCTATTATATAGTTTTCCATTCCTTTCTTCATAATCATACCAACACACATATACAGCATTTTCCCTGTTACTTGTTTTATGTATGTGTGTGTATGTTTATAAAATAATTATGTCATATATATTAATCTACCACTTGCTTTCTCAATTAACAATACATCCTAGACATCTCTCCAGGTTAGTAGCTATAAATCTAACTTAGTCTTTTTAATAAGTATGAATATATGTATAAATATATATACATATATATGTGTGTGTGTGTATACACTATGACTTATTTAGCTATTTTCTTAGTGATGAATATTCAAACTAGTGTGTTTTTTGTTTTGTTTTGTTTTTTTGCCATTAAAAATTTGCAATTAACATCCTTCTCTGTATATTCTTATATGCTGGTAATTTTTTTCCCTTTAGATTTCTGAAAATGATATTTTTAGATCCAAGATTATGTACACATTTAAATTTTTAATAGATATTGACAGTTTACTATTTTAAAAAGGAAGTTTCAATTCACATTCCCACCAGCAATGTACAGAACTGCACATTTCCCCTCATCTTTCCC